AGTACAGTAGAAGCCATTTTATGGCAGTACAGTAGAAGCCATTTTACGGCACAACAGTAGAAGCCGTTTTACGGCAAAACAGGCTGTATCTTAACAGAACGCACACACACACACCCCGAGGAGTGTTAGGGGTGTCTTACCACCACAGTATTTTTTTTCCAGAGGGTAAACTGTCTGTGTACCAAGTTTGGTTGAAATTTCTCAAGCCGTTCCAGAGTTATTCTGGAAAACACACACACAGACAGCCATTTTTAGATATAGATAGATATAGATTAACCTTTGGAATACGATACTCATATCATATTCCGGCAAGCCAGAGCAGAGTTAATTTAAAGAATATTAAATTAGTCTCTAGTGAGAAATGGGGAGGTTTTTCTTGTTTTTCAATCACAGGGTTTAGCAAAATTCATATAAAATCACAACAATCTATTCAGTTCGATTCCTTCCCTCTAATGTTAACAGCGCTATCTATCAACTTCTGCTTTCATATCTTCCCTGCAGCTATCTGTTACATGTTCATCTACATCAGTCAGTGGGAAATGGATTTTTTTCCCCTTCTATACAAGACTAACAAAGGCATGACCTAAGTTCCTGATGTAATTTGCTAATTACAAATTGGACACTTTGCAGAACTTTTAACAATTCTCGAACAAGGATTTCAGAGCCAGAGCAGTTGTTCTGCTCTCGAAAACACCGTTCAAGGAGAGGTATTATTTACTGACGTGCTCTGGGATTCCCTGCTCTCACTTCTGGCGTGAAATCTCAAAAAGTGTGAACATGATTTGGGGCTGATCGTCCCCATATTAAGGGCGTGTATGTTCTTCTTGGCTTGATTCTCAGGGCTAGGAATATTTCAAAACGTCGAAAATGGTGAACTTTTCACACGTTAAGAGATGGCCGAGAGCCTTGGAAAAATAACTTCCACATTTGAAACATAGCAACCGATGGCTGTGTCATCTGTCAACCTCTGAGGCAGATTTGTTTGGCAAAGGAATGGATTTTGAAGCATTTTTTGCTCACGTTTTTAAAGAGCTATTTTTATATCATTTCTTTTTCTAGATTTGGTCCCATGCTGTTCTCAGCTTTGTTTAAAATTGAGTAACAAGTATGTCATTACTAGGGTTAATTTTAAAGAAGGGTCTACCCTGGTTCCCTGAAAATAAGACCTCATATTATCCTTCCCCGGATAGTATGCCCAATTGGGCTTTTGAGCGCATGCGCTGAAATAATCCCTCCCCGAAAATAATCCCTCCCCAAAAATATTGCAACACAGCAGCAGCCATGAGGTGACCACGTATGTAAAGAAGGAGGATTTGTATGTTTGTTTTGAAAATATATATATATTTTCAGTTAGCTTCCTCCCATAATCGGGGCATACCAGGGGTTGTGACACTAAATATATACCTACTTCCCTGGCTTCAGCTGATAAGGAGGAGGACCTGTGGCTTAATGGTTAAGACATCTGCCTAAGATGTAATACAGCACAGGTTCGAATCCCAGTAAGGGTATGGCTAGCTGATGAGAGCTAAATAGCTTGAAATAGATCTATACTAGTCTCCCTTTATTTATTTATCAGCACAAATATCACACACAGAGAATGTAAAGAAGCCAGTAACAAGCAACCACAGCCTGCAAAATTATATATATTTTTAGGGGCAACCTGCTCTCAAATAACTCCTCATTCTTGGTTGTTAGACTGCAGGGGGGCGGGTACAAGAACACTGGTATCATTCGCACTCACCTCTTTCAAGTAGTGCCCTTTGCTCCTTATGCAGTAAGGCTACTTCCCGGCCCAGGGCTCTTTTCTGCCTCTCTAGCTCATTCTGAAGCACCAGAATCTTCAACTGTAAACACTCACTCTCTTTTTTCTATAAAAACAAAAACGAAACAAGAACAAGGATTGCTCAGAATATATGCAGACACTTCGGGGAGAAATGCTACCTGTGAATATTATACATTTCCGTGGAAAATAAGATTATGAGCGTTTCAGAAGAGGTAACCAAGAGAATACTTGTAGCTCGGAGCTGAACTGTGGAGTCCTTGGTGCTCTCTGAGCTTGGTTGGTTTCTTGCAGACATTTCATTACCCAACTAGGGAACATCATCAGTGCTGGATGTTACAGAATAACAGAATTGGAAGGGACCTTGCAGGTCATCTAGTCCAACCGAGGTGGCGCAGTGGTTAAATGCAGCACTGCAGGCTACTTCAGCTGACTGCAGTTCTGCAGTTCGGCTGTTCAAATCTCACCGGCTCAAGGTTGACTCAGCCTTCCATCCTTCCGAGGTAGGTAAAATGAGGACCCAGATTGTGGGGGCGATATGCTGACTCTGTAAACCGCTTAGAGAGGGCTGAAAGCCCTATGAAGCGGTATATAAAAAGAGCCGAGGTGGCGCAGTGGTTAAATGCAGCACTGCAGGCTACTTCAGCTGACTGCAGTTCTGCAGTTCGGCTGTTCAAATCTCACCGGCTCAAGGTTGACTCAGCCTTCCATCCTTCCGAGGTGGGTAAAATGAGGACCCGGATTGTTGTTGGGGGCAATATGCTGACTCTGTAAACTGCTTAGAGAGGGCTGAAAGCCCTATGAAGCGGTATATAAAAAGAGCCGAGGTGGCGCAGTGGTTAGGGTGCAGTACTGCAGGCCACTTCAGCTGACTGTTATCTGCAGTTCAGCGGTTCTAATCTCACCGGCTCAAGGTTGACTCAGCCTTCCATCCTTCCGAGGTGGGTAAAATGAGGACCCAGACTGTGGGGGCGATATGCTGACTCTGTAAACCGCTTAGAGAGGGCTGAAAGCCCTATGAAGCAGTATATAAGTCTAACTGCTAACTGCTATTGCTATAAGTCTAACTGCTATTGCTATTGCTAACCCCCTGCTCAAACAGGAGACCCTATCCTATTTCCAACAAGGGGCCGTCCAGTCTCTTCTTAAAAGCCTCCAGGGGATTGACGCTCCCACAACTTCCAAAGGCAACTTCTGTTCCATGGGTTGATGGTTCTCACCGTCAGGAAATTCCTCCTTATTTCCAAGTAGAATCGCTCCTTCATCAGCTTCCATCCATTGTTCCTTGTCTGGTCTTCTTCAGGGGCTTTGGAAAATAGGTTGTCCCTCTCCTCTTGGTGAAGATGGGGAGGAAGAAGAAGAAGACCATGGGATGCTCGGTGCTCTCTGTGCTTGGTTGCAGGCATTTCATTACTGGCCTAGGCAACATTTTAAGCGCTGGAGTATGGTTGGCTCAATGCTTATATTCAAAATACCATGATTCTAGCCATTGTCTATCTACTGTTGGATGAAGGCCACTTCTGCTTGTTCCCAACCAATACTGCCCTGTGCTTTCTTTGGCCAATTAGGGCCACCATACTTGCTGATGTCATCACTCCATCCTGTTTTAGGTCTCCTTCATGGATGCTTTTGATCAAGTGGGATCCATTCTACGACTGTCTTGGTCCACCTACCCTCAGTTCTTCTTGGATCTGGCGAGCCCGTTTCCATTTCAATTTTTTTTTTTTACTCTTTTGATGGACACTGTATATTTTTCTGTGGTCTCTAATCCACGCGCAGGGCTTTCTATCTTGTCTCGTGATGCTGAGCGTGTCTCTTTCCGTGGCTCTTTGCGCCATTCACAGCTTTCGTACCGATTGTGAAGTCCCTGTCCGTGTTTTCGCTGCGTATGTTAAAGCAGGCAACACACACCAATCGAAAACTTTTCTCTTCGGGCCTAGGGGAGAAGGTTGTGCTTGAAAATCATGCTTAGCTTGCCAAAGTATTTGTATTTNTATTTAGGCCAGTGTTTCTCAACCTTGGCAACTTGAAGATGTCCGGACTTCAACTCCCAGAATTCCCGAGCCAGCGAATGCTGGCTGGGGAATTCTGGGAGTTGAAGTCCGGACATCTTCAAGTTGCCAAGGTTGAGAAACACTGATTTAGGCTTGGTTTTTGGGCGGCAATGTCACTTGTTGACATCAACTCGAGAAGTTAAGAGACAGATTAGCAACGTTGTCGAGCAAGGATTTGAACCTCAGGATCTAGTATTAACAGCTGCAGAGTGAACCAATTACAGGCAGTCCTCGAGTTACGACCACAACTGAGCCCAAAATTTATGTTGCTAAGTGAAACATTTGTCGAGTGAGTTTTGCAGGGCTTTGCCACAGTTGTTAAATGAATCGTTGCATTTGTTGAGTTAGATACACGGCTGTTTATGTGAATTTGAAATTTCCCGTTGATTTCGCTCCTCAGAATGTCGCTAAAGGTCACATGACCCTGGGACACTGCAACCGTCATAAATATGAACCCGTTGCCAAGCGTCTGAATTGTGATCATGTGACCATGGGGACGTTGCAACGGCCACAAGTGTGAAAAACGGCCCTAAGTCACATTTTTCGGTGCATTGTAACTTTGAACGGTCACTAAATAAACTGCTGTAAGTCAGGGACGACCTGAATTTGGGTTTTAGTACCCTCTCTTAACATTATTACCGTGGATCAATTCAGCTGAAGCGAAATTCTAAACGTTCCTTGGTAATTTATTCAATTGAAGCATTTGTTCTTTGGACTACCCAGTCCAATTTCTACTGCTGGTATTAATTTATAGGGGGAAAATATCTGGACCAAACATAATTTCTAATGTTGGATTTTTCTCCCTTACCAGAGGGAACCCCCTTGTGGAGGACTGTGAAGCCGTTACCACAGCAACTCCACTGCGCTGTACAGTAGAAGCCATTTTATGGCAGTACAGTAGAAGCCATTTTAT